CTGTCTCTGCACCACTGTCACTTTCACTATAACTGTCACTGTCATAGTCACTTTCAATGACTGTCACTGTCCGTGGCACTGCCACTGTCGCGAACAACATACATTTTGATGTCATCTTCAGTGCAGCTGTAATTTTCATTGTCACTTTCAAGGTCAATGTCATTGTCTATGGCAATGCCACTGTCATGAACAACACTACTATTGATATCACCCTCAACGCAACTTTAATTGTCATTGTCATGTCACTGTCTTTATCACTTTGATTGTCATTGTCAACTTCACTGTCAGTGTCATTGTCTGTGTCGCTGCCACTGTCATGGACAATACCATTTTTTATGTCATCGTCAATACCATTGCAATTGTCATTTTCATGTCACTATGTCACTGTCACTTTCATTGTCATTGTCAGTTTCATTGTCAGTGCACTGCGTATGTCACTGTCACTGTCATGAACAACATTTTTTTTGGTCATCATCAGTCATTGTTAGTTTCATTTTCATGTCACTGTCACTGTTATAGTCAATCTAATCAATTGTTAATTCATTGTTATTGTCAGAGTAAAAACGCCATCTGCCATTACCCAGGATATTGCAATTTAAACCTAGTTTGATTATTCAAAGATAAAAAGATATTCTGTAGGCCTTGATCATGGTGAAATTGGATGGGAAGGTAACTGGCACTCTGGAAAGCCCATGCTACAAGAAGTTCTTATTAGAAGGCATTGATGAAAGAAACATCAGTTCTACTTCTTTATTTTTACCTTTAGATCAACTCGATTTTTCTCCTCAGGTGACGAGACTTTCAAGGAGACTTTCATCAATAAAGAGGTGGGGTCAATTTCACAAGCCACAATGAAATCATAAACACAACAGACTCCCTGTAAGTAAACATGGAGACAACACTGAATAAGATGACAATTATTGTGTTTAAACATTTCAAACCAAGATTTTGCTCTCATCATTCATCTATCCAACTTCCATCTCTTCACACAAGTTACAAAAATGTCCAAGATTCTCATGAGGGATTGTAAGTCTGAATGAGGATTTTAAGATTTCCATTAGGAAATGTTGGTGGTGGAGAATGGTGTTTACAAACAAACAGGAGACTGAAGAGCAAATTAACAAACAGATTCAATGTTGATGTGCATCTGCTCAGTAACTGATCACAGATGACATCAAAATGAAGTAAGAACAAAAGAAGTGGCACATGAGGCACAGCCTAGATGGTAGCTGATGTTTGGTACATTAAAACGAGTTTATATTACCAGAACAGTGATTCCTTGCTCCTTGCAAAGCATTGCCTGCTCTCAGTTGGCTTGTTAGCTCAATTGGTTAGAGCGCTGCACTAGTATCGCAGAGGTCAGTGGTTCGAGTCCCGTACAGGCCTGATTTTTTTCAGGTCTGAATTTCGCTATTGCTCAAATAGCGCTATCTACTGCGAGGATCGTCCATCATACGTATCAAATACCGCAGTTCAAAATATATGATTTTCATATATTTATTCTATCTCATTTATCACTTTCACGGGTTCATTACGAATCAACTTAACGGCCTGCTCTCAGTTGGCTTGTTAGCTCAATTGGTTAGAGCGCTGCACTAGTATCGCAGAGGTCAGTGGTTCGAGTCCCGTACAGGCCTGATTTTTTTCAGGTCTGAATTTCGCTATTGCTCAAATAGCGCTATCTACTGCGAGGATCGTCCATCATACGTATCAAATACCGCAGTTCAAAATATATGATTTTCATATATTTATTCTATCTCATTTATCACTTTCACGGGTTCATTACGAATCAACTTAACGGCCTGCTCTCAGTTGGCTTGTTAGCTCAATTGGTTAGAGCGCTGCACTAGTATCGCAGAGGTCAGTGGTTCGAGTCCCGTACAGGCCTGATTTTTTTCAGGTCTGAATTTCGCTATTGCTCAAATAGCGCTATCTACTGCGAGGATCGTCCATCATACGTATCAAATACCGCAGTTCAAAATATATGATTTTCATATATTTATTCTATCTCATTTATCACTTTCACGGGTTCATTACGAATCAACTTAACGGCCTGCTCTCAGTTGGCTTGTTAGCTCAATTGGTTAGAGCGCTGCACTAGTATCGCAGAGGTCAGTGGTTCGAGTCCCGTACAGGCCTGATTTTTTTCAGGTCTGAATTTCGCTATTGCTCAAATAGCGCTATCTACTGCGAGGATCGTCCATCATACGTATCAAATACCGCAGTTCAAAATATATGATTTTCATATATTTATTCTATCTCATTTATCACTTTCACGGGTTCATTACGAATCAACTTAACGGCCTGCTCTCAGTTGGCTTGTTAGCTCAATTGGTTAGAGCGCTGCACTAGTATCGCAGAGGTCAGTGGTTCGAGTCCCGTACAGGCCTGATTTTTTTCAGGTCTGAATTTCGCTATTGCTCAAATAGCGCTATCTACTGCGAGGATCGTCCATCATACGTATCAAATACCGCAGTTCAAAATATATGATTTTCATATATTTATTCTATCTCATTTATCACTTTCACGGGTTCATTACGAATCAACTTAACGGCCTGCTCTCAGTTGGCTTGTTAGCTCAATTGGTTAGAGCGCTGCACTAGTATCGCAGAGGTCAGTGGTTCGAGTCCCGTACAGGCCTGATTTTTTTCAGGTCTGAATTTCGCTATTGCTCAAATAGCGCTATCTACTGCGAGGATCGTCCATCACACGTATCATCTGTTTTTACTTGTTATCATAATTTCCTAACCAGCTACCCCTTTACATCAATATTTGTATTCCCCATACTGTTCTCAATACATTTCCTTTGCTACTGACAAGGAGAATTTGTTTAACAATCATAGCTTCTTGGGTTGGTGATCATTTCCTTTATTCTCGTGATCTTTAGTTAATGAATGATTCAACAATACTCCAGTCTGTAAGGAGAAATTAGATGCTGGTCACCCAGGGCTCAAAACGAAGTTTTCAACTTACTAGCCAAGTGGCTAGTGACATCTTAGATGTTTTTAGATGTTACGACAATTTCAGTTTGTTTACTAGCCAAACTGGCTTATGGAAATCAAAGACCACTAGCCACAACTGAATTTCTACTAGTCCATGGCTAGTGGGCTACCGTTAGTGTCGAGCCCTGTCACCCTTAGGGTAAAGAGTTCAAACTGAATATCCTTGAACACATAGCTTTCCTCAAAGGATATGTTGACAGTGATTAGATTGATGCCATTCAAAGAACTAACAGAATACATAAATAGAAAACAGAAAACAGCCAATCAGAATACTTCCTTGAAATAGTTTAAATAATTTTGTTTTACAGAAATTGTATATCACTGATTGATCTTGTTGTAGGCTACACAATCCAGGGCTCCACACTAAGTTTTCAACTTACAAGCCAAGTGCTTTGCAGCAGGCTTGTTACATCTTAAATGTTACGACAATTTCAGTTTGTTTACTAGCCAAGCTGGCTAGTGGAAATTGAAATCCACTAGCCAAAACTGAGTTTCTACTAGTCTGTGGCTAGTGGGCTACCGTTAGTGTGGAGCCCTGACAATCCCAAAATAAATTATGTTGCAAATTATAGATAAATACACTCACCAATGAAACAACATTTCACATAAAACAGAAATGAGAGGATAAAAAACACAGCACCAAGAAGATCTGCCCTTCCAACCAAACCTGAAACCTATGAAAATTAATATAGAACATATCAATAAATAAAAAACAGAAAAATAATCTTTAGTACCTGAGCTTACTTGTCATATTGCATGATTCTAACAAGCCACTCCTACACAAAAAAGTTATTGAATTGATTTATGCACCTTTGACACCAAAAAAAAAGGAAAACAAATCATGCATCAGCATGTCTATGAAAGCAATGCAAACATTAGGTGGCCTGGCACAGAGAACTGTCCTTGTAACAAATCACTTACTCTATCCTCAGCTTTGCCAAAATCTCTGGCATCTTTTTTGCACTGCAGTTTTCAGTGGTTCAATAAACAATAGCACAGGTCTCATCTTTCACAGTGGTACCAGTGATCAACAATGTTGCCTGAGTCAATTACTTATTTGTTCAGCAAGAACTCCAATCAGCCTCTTTTGCATCTGCCACAAAAATGATCTTCCATATCATACAAAATTTGGAAAAATACCAAAAGCCATCATAATTTTGCTGGAGAATTTGCCTAGATGTTGAAGAGATTTTTCAATCACTGGTGATGCCTAATGACAATACACTGATTTCATACATGTAGACAACTGTTTTTCCTCTGAGCTGCATCATTTGAGTTCTTTGTGTGATAGGAATTTTTTAAATCTAGATTTACATTCCATAGCACATGCATATGGGATAGCTTTTATAGACAGCTGACTCATGATTGTGATAAGCTGGGGTCCCAGGTGGAAATCTTATTAAGATCTTGGAAGATTTCCTTAGAAGAAATTATTATAAGTTATTTGTATGATTAACTTTTTCCTTTAACCTCTTTTAAATCTGGATTTTAATTCCATAGATATAGCACATGCATATGGAATAATCTTTATTGACAGTTAACTCGTGATTGTAGATAACCTACAGTGTAAAACATGTAGTCCCAGACAAATATCTGTTTCCTTAGAAGAAATTAAATCAAATAAACCTCACAAAACAGAACTTCCCAGTATAAAACTATCACTAACATCTTTCTTCTTGTTCAAGGATTGGCACTCAATTATCCACATTTTTTAAAAAATTAAGTAATAGAGGATTTTTCCTCTTTATTATAGCCTAATCCTAACACAGAGGGAGTTGGGAGAATTCAAGAAAATCATCCAAACCCATGACAAGGTCTTATGTTTGTATAATTTTCAAGAATTCTCTCAAACCCCATGAGTTAAGATGAGGCTTTGTAAACAGTGAGAAAGCCTTTCTGTGGCTTTTATGAAATATTTCTGGCAAACACAGAAAGTATGACATCATAACTGTGTTTACATAACCTCATCTTCATACAACCATCAACCAATGAGAGTGCACTTCTATCTTAAATATTTTATAACATTTAACATATAATATCACTAAAAAAAATTAAAAATAGGCTAAGAAGTAAACTGCTTTAGTCATGCACTGGGCTATATCTGAGAAAAAAGGAAACAAGGAACAGTTTATAAAATCAAACAGATTTTAACAAAACGACTTTGAACCTATTAAAAATTCAAGCTTACAAGTAAGCTTTCGATTAAACTACCTGTAACAAGCTTGGAAAGGACAACATTAAATAATAATGAGAAGTTAAAATTACTTAACTCTCGAGTTACGTTAAGGTCAGATAAGTAAAAATTTAACGGTGAAATAAAAGAATTGTTCGTACTTACACACTCTGTGTGGATAGGATGAACAGCGAAAAGGATCGCACCGAGTAAACTTGCCCTTGGAGCTGTTAAATGAGTTCTTTCGGAAGAATTATTATCATAATAAAATTTAACATTATTTTTACCACTGAAAAGGATCGAAAAAAGTTTCAGACATAAGACTGACACCACAGCATGGAGTGTGACATTGATGACATGAAATCCCCAGGGATGCAGTCCTTCTGCCAGCCAATAATTGAATCGAAATGTTAAAATTGTGAAGGGACGATAGCTTTTGTGACTGGTGTTGGAACTAATGTTCGCACCCCAGAAGTCATGATAAAACAATTCTCCAAGCGGGATGTCGGGCGTCAAGTCCTTGTTCGCCACAATTGCTTCAGAGTCGTCGAAGACAAACTCGCCTTTGCATGAATTATAATAACAAAGAACAGAAACACAGGTAACAAGGGCAGATGCGAAACCAAAGGACAAGTTCGGTACAGGTAAATCACTGTCGATTTCTTCATCGTCAGTAACAAAGTTGTGATAACTCTGGATTTTGCGTTCCTCTCCAATCAATTCCTTTGCAGGTTTTCTTCGAAGCCTGTTGCCATTTTCCCTATTCCTAGACGCCATGAAACAGGTTTCTTTCTTGGCTAATTTAACAAAATTTTAACCTAATATTTCCTGCGGGCGTAACGCGCCATTTTCAAACAAAGCGCGTACAATTAAAGTGTTTACCCGCACCTGGCTGGGAACAAAAACTATTCTCTAGGGAGGGGTGCGTTTTGCAAGTTTGCAACATAAATTATTAAGAGTAAAGTTAGCCGAACTGATAGAGTGTAAATAATCATGAATAATTCAATGAATGTTTTGATATTAATTCAAGTTTCTTTAGTGAAAACTGTGATCATTTTGCTCATATTACACTGGTTCTCTAACAGCTGTGCAAAATGTAGCTCACTTTCTCCTCCCCGGAAAGACTTCCAATTTTTTCTTTCTGCGGCAAGGAGTTCTGGGACATTTCAAACAACATGGCGGACGTTTGGTGTGGTTTCGGTTAGAAAGTTTTGTACTCATTTGAGGGGTATTGTATCAGGCTCAATTGATACAAATAACCCTAGAATTATCAGCTGGATTTTTCTTTAATTAAACCCGGATCTTTTCTTATTCCGGAAATGGTGTCATCCTACGATTTGCGTAATTTTTCACCATTCACGTGATTGAGCTGTAACTTCCACGTTGTCAGCTTTCTTCAGGTTGGTTTTTGGAGTATTAAGTAATCATAATGTTATTTATTGGTTTCTTGTATCAAGAAATTGATCTTTATTCTTTTGAAAGATTTACTTTAATTTCTATGTGTATTCAGGTACTTAAAAGTATTTTGATCGAGATTAGGATGTAGAGAAACTGATAAATTTTAACCTTCCAAGTCTTACATGTATTAATTTCCCGCTTTTCACAGCTTCTGAACCCGTTCATCATACGTGCAGTTCTGATTGGCACTTGCCCAGCTGTTAAAGGTTGATCTTAAAGAAAATATGGCGACTCTATCTGAACCTGTTCCTTTAGAAATGGAACGGTAAGTTTATCTCTAGTAGATTGTAATTAAGGAAGAACTATGGCTACCGTTGTGTGAATTATTCTTATTGATAACGTTTTTTTTTCCATTTCCTTTTAAAATCATGAGGAAGGTGTTTTATTTCAATAGGATTTCCTTGCACAGACATGGAAAGGATGCTGAAAATGTTTTGGGTATGCTAACAACATTTAATTAACCCTTTAACTCTATTAGGTGACAAACTTGAATTTAATTTTTTGCACAAAATTGTGCTTCAGGTGTGGTTTAAGTCACTTTCATCTTTACAAATCCACAAGAGTGAGACAATGTAGATATAGTTCAATTTTATACTTGGTTCAAATTTTATTTTCCTTTGTTCTGGGTCATGTTAATGTATGATAATGAGTTTGAAACAAAGGGAAATAAAATTTGAACCAAGGATAAAATTGAACCACAACATAGATATTCAGGGGTTTCAATAAGATTTTCAACCCTTTACATCCTAATTAACATCAGTTTCCATATTCTCCATACTCTTTCTAGATATTTTCTTAGGTGTTCATAAGGAGAATCAACTCTTCAACTCTTTCTAGATATTTTCCTAGGTGTTCATATAACAATCAAAGCTTAGTTTGGTGATCATTTCCTTTTTTCTCATGATCTTAATGAATGATTCAGCAGTATTAATGTTAGGAGAAATTAGATGCTGGTGACTCTTACTTAGGGTTAATAGAATGACACCAGGTTATGTCATATGGGCAGAAAAATCTGCATAGCCCAAGAGGCCTTGCTAAGCT